AAATTTTACCTATTTTTCTTGTCAAATTGGCAAAAAAATATGTTTTGGTGTGCCATAGCATTTTAGACATTAGTTTATGGGTGCCATGATGTGAAAAAGGTTGAAAATCGCTGATCTACATATACAGCCTTGTTTAAGGATGGGGGTATTGTTTGCTAGACATATCAAGATCCTGCCCATAACGAGGAATCTGGAATTTTCCTGAGTGACTCAGTTTTACTCAAGAATGCCTATTTTAAGGGGGGGGGGGGAACCCTTCACATTATTTTAGAACTGATCATAGAATCATTTAAACACAAGGAATTCTTTTAAAAGAGCATCTTACTATAATGCAAATTTTATTGCCTTTATAAAAATCCCTGGAGTGCAGAAAATGTCATTGGAACACCTAGTAATGTTCACTCTTGAAAAGCATTTTTAAGTAAGGACCTCAAGGCTGCAGGTGAGCGCCTGTCGTTAACAGAACAGATACTTCAAGTCAGTAAAGTCCCCACAGACTTGTCACTGTTTATTAAGTTGGGAACAGAGAAACCCAATACCCTGTAAGCTACAAAAGAGAGGTAAGCAAAAATACAAACTCCCATTGCCCTCAGCACTTTTCATCTCTGAATTGCTATTCCAAGAAAAAGAGAACAATCTAGATCGTTTGCTTTTAGCATTTACAACTCCATGCAAAATTGTGGAGTTGAGTAACTTTTAAAATTGGTTTACCTTCCTTAAAGTGGTTGCCAGTTAAGAATCATTAAACTAGCACTTTTGCTTAGCACACAGCAAACAGGTCTTTTAATCTGCTGCCGGGGAAGAAAATTATTTTATTTATTCAGCTGCGGTTTCTGTGGAATTTTAAATGTAATTTTTAAAAAAGAACTGCTTATTTGGATGCATGGAGTATTGTATATATTTTTGCTACTTTTGGTTGTTTTTTTTTCCACTTAAAAAAAAATCCCATAGTGATTTTGGTGGGTGAAGTTGCAAGGAAAGGGGAAAGAAGGTAAGAAGTATCCCAAACGACAGACTTGACAAAGCAATGTCCCGTCAGAGCATCCTAAAGGTATTTACAAAGGCTACTACTGATCCGCCTTTCTGGGAAGTGAATCTGAGATTTCCCCAAGGTCACTGGGCATGGCGGCAAAGACGTGTAGAGCAGAGCCCTCAGTCCTTGGGCCATCTGCTTGCCCAAGTTTTCTGCTCTCCTAGAGTTTTACCCATAATTCCCACAAATCAGCTAGCCTAATAATGACTAGGAAAACTAATTTACAAATAGTTAACGGTGGAACAGCCAATCTTATCTTTGCAATCAGGACACTGAAAGACGGACAAGGTCATGCCCTTAGGAACTGAAAAATTAAGAGAAACAAAAAGAAAGCCTGTTAAGGTAGCCCTACACCCCAAATGTTAAACCCCATGTGAAGATCTTTTATAGGAAAAGTCAAAAAATAGTTTAAAAAATTTTTTTCTGCTCATAATCATGAGAGCAATACTGAAATTCTTGGGAAGAAATGCAAACTTAAGACATTTCAAATGCATCCTAGGTTAAATTTTGTGTGATGCATAGGAAGAAAGCAGTGTGATTTTGCTAATGAACAGCTCTGAGCTGGGGAATGTGGGGAGAGAGGAAAATAGGAATTGTAAGCTTTGAGAGATGTTGTACATCAAGAGCTTTAGGAAACCGTTCATGGGACAGTAATGCTGCTCTGATCCCGAAAGGTGTTTTTGGATGTTTCTATTTCATTCAAGAACTGCAGAAGTGCTCAAGAGAAGGGCTAGTGAACACAGTAGGTCTGTGTTGAGAACTGGTTTCAGGTACAGAAGGTAGAGGTAATGTTCAGAGGGGTCTTTGTCCAACCTTCAAGTGAGGACCAAGGTTGAAAGGAGGTAGATGGTTAACTTCCAGTGCTTTCTTGGACGATGCTCACACTATTACAAAGATCATGTAAGCTCCTCTTGGGGCTGTTGTTTTTCCAGCCTGTATTCAAACAACTGGATTTAGAAACCTAGCCATTGTCCCAGCAAGTGTCCGAACCTTTTGACTCAGAAACTATCTCCCTCCTCCCCCCAAAAGGGTAAAAAGATGATCGATGAGCAAAATTAGTCCACAAAATATTTATTTATAGTGTGAATATCTTCTGATGCCATGATCAGGGCTATTTAGTGGAGACTCTTTAGGTGAGAGCAGGGTAAAAGAGGGAATTTCAGGAGAGGTTCATTCCTCAGAAAGTGGTTCAGTGGAGTTTGCTTAAAAATCATTGCAACGTGGCAATGCAATCTGGGATATACTGAGTCACCAACGACAAGATTCGGGAGCAATATTCTAGATGGAAATTTGGTATGGAGGTTGTGTGTGAAGGGGAAGAAAGAGAAATTAATTTAATTCCGTTTGCTGATGTGACTGTAGCACAACTATTTTTAGGTATAATCCAAACAGTGCATATCTTCTCCATTCTGATTAGTAGCAAATTGGCAGGGAGTCAAAAGAATTAGTATTTCTCAGCACATTATGCCAGAAATGTACAAATAAATTATCTATGCCAATGTGTTTAATTTGAATTACTGCTAAGATTTTTTTTAATTCATTTTCTTTCCAAAGAGCAAACATGTCCAGCTTTGTTAAAAACATTTTTTTAAAGCCTTTCTCAAATGGCAGCAAAACTTAATAGAATACTTTCCCTTCAAACCCTCGGTCAGAAGCTCTTGCTAAAAAAATATAAATGTTAATATCATCCTGATACTTTGGGTGCAGAATTTCCGCCTGGCAATTTTACATGTTCCCAGAGGAAGTCGGCACATTCAACAAAATGCAAAATTAAAATAAGCTAGGAAAATGTGCTTAACGAGGAAAGGTCTCACAATAGCCTCTTAGAAGTTATTAATAATTCCAGTTCCTAAGAAAGCAGGGACTGAAAAAATAAACTCTATTTGCAAAGTGTTACATAGGCAAGTTCACCAAGGGATGAAGCTAGATGTGATGCCAATTACACACTTATACACTGGGAGAATTCACAGATGCTGGACGATCCCGTCACACACTAGAGATCTTTATAGCCAGCAAGCTAAACCTAACTTCCAAGGGAGCAGATCAATGAACCTTGGTCACATTGAAGTCCACCGTTTTAATTTTAGTGTTAATGCCTTTGGTACCTTGCTACGCACAAAGCCACGGTTAGGTAAGGTGGATTTTCTGCATATTCAGTGCCCTCCACCTGTCACTTCTGCTCTGCGTTATTTTACCAGATTAAATAGGACTGACATGTTCCTCCCACTGCCTTAGCTATCAGGAGGGGCAGCCCAGCTTCCCACAGTTCTACTGTGAACAAACGTCTGTCTTCTTCGAAAACAACAAGTAGTTTTCGTGGGTAGTTGGGATCACTGACACAGTCTGTTTCTGAGTCCTTGTAAGCCTTAGTTAGAGACCTCAGGGATCACAGGAAAATCTTTTTCTATTTCCTACCAATAAGGATAACTTGTTCCCCAGATTATACTTTTCTTCTAATTCACTAAAGACTTTAGAGCTATCTGCTAGGTAAAGTTGTTATATACATATTTGTTATAAAGTTTAAAGGACTTTCATAATTTTAAGACCTGAGGTCTTACGGGCCTATATATATGTTTGTGTTGGGAAATTTTATTTAAATGTCGAGACATCTATACAAAACAAGTAGATAATAAGGAATCTGAGAAGGTGAAGCATTAACTTGGTACTTTGGTATTCTTCAGATGAAACTCTAGACATTTAATCTATTAATTGTGTAGTATAACTTAAAATAAAGAGAAACAAAACCCCCAACAAAAGCTTTCTTACAGACTCGTGGTGGGGGGAGGATAGAAATGACTGTGTTTAGTCCCTAGGGGAAAGGATGGTGAGATTTGATCCTGACAGTGATTCTGCATTCTCCAAAACAAGCTTTGTAAGTATTTACCCTTGTATTTTTAGTTAAAGAAATTTTACCATCCCCCACCTTTTTTCTTCTTTTTCTGGAGGAGGGGGCTAAACTTCATAGCAGTTGGTATTGAAACTGCTACTGTTCATGCAACTTTTGCTGGTCTCCAAAACATCCCCATCATTGACCTTTCTCAGAAGACTGTCCCTCCGTCTTTGTAACATCCTATTGCAAAAGAGGATAATCAGAACTGATTTTCCTCCGTGGAAAATAGTTCGTGTTAAAGCTCAGAACTAGCCCAAACTTTATACTGTTTACTTTGGTTTCTTTATTGGATGATCATGAAACAAAAAGCTGGTTTAAAAATATGAAGATAAACACTCAAATCAACTTACTTTGGAGAATGTAGAATTAATCCCAGCATAAAATTTTACTATACTTTCCAGAGGAAGTAATTTCATGGAAACTATCCTATCTACTGTGTGTCATAATTTCGTTAGTGAAGTTTAACAATTTCATTTTTGCTTTTACCTGTACCTGCCCACCCCAAACTTCTGTTGAAATGGTTTGTTGAATTACATAAGAGAAAAGAAATATTTACTTAAAAGCTCTCATAAATTTTTGCTTAGCCATAAAAACATGTTTCATTCTAAACAGCTCCTAGAAAAATGTGCCCCACGGATCAGCTGCAGGCTATGATTATTCTAACGGAAAACAAAAAGCTGTGGAAGCCACTCACCCATTCCAAGCAGGCAGACTGTTCAACAAGTTAGTCTTCTTTCCTGTGTTTCTGTGCAAAGTTGCAGCTGAGTTACCTACTTTGGTCACTTTTCTTTAGAAGATACGCAATTCCAAGTGTTACTTCTTAAGTCAGATGTAGCCGATGGGATCTGGAAAACACCTACCGGTAGTCTAGGATACCTTCCAGCTGGCTGCGAAAATTTAGGGCGAGCCTGCAGCCTCGGTAGGTGCATGCCTTATTTGGTTTAGAAGCATGTTGTTATGTTATTGAGTCATGAAAAGCTATTAAAAGAGCTCTATGGGAAACCTATATTTTGAATAAAGCAAACTTTCTTCTCCATTATCACTGACCTCTTACAGACACACGGTTCATAACCTTGATTGTGCTCCATTGGTATTTATTGCACATAGACCAATTCCTCACACAGTAGTTAGTTGCACCCGAGTATAAATACTTGGTAAAACACACAGAGGAAATAGAATTTACACACAAGTGCTCAGTTTTACCAGCAGAATCACATGGGCACTTGGACATAAAAAATAATTTAAAAAATCCTCAAGATAATTGTATTTATAATATGGATACAGTTACAGTACCATGATAAAAGAGTATAAAAAGGCATTTTCCCAATAAATCGTTAGCTCAATAAAATAATAGACAACAGAAGTAGAGTTTGAATTTTATTTTAGTTTTTAAGATCTTCCCCCCTCCCCATTAAAAAATATTTAATTTCTTTTTGTGCGAGTAACACATTCTGTGGACTTTACAATTCCTAACACTGTGCAAAAATGGCATTTTGACCCACTCCTTTTCGTTTTTTTTTTTTTTACCCACATGTGCAGTAATCTGAACTGAAACCTCTTTTTTTTTTTTTTTCCTTTTCCTGTTCTGTCTTCAATGGACAGAGTCACATGGCACAGAGGCTCAGTGCCTGGTCCTTCCAACTAGTATTGATGCATAAATAAGCTGTTTAATATAAACAAGTCTTTCTGTCTGGCTGTGCAATGTGCACAGTGTGAGGTAGAAACCCCTCCGCCCCGGCACCTGGGCACGTGGGAACAGCAGGCTTGCCCTACACAAGGAAAGCAGGGTGAGGCTTGTTTCGAGAACAGCTGACAGTTTCTCGAAACGCGATTTTTGCATGCATCCTTTCCCTTTGCTCTAAGGACAGGAGAAATCATTACTCGGGAATGAAACTGAAATTTCTCCAGAAAGCAAAAGGAAGCGTGTCCTGACAAATTTTCATGGTTCCCTCTCTCCGGGTGACTGCTTCTGCTCTCGGGAAGGGGAGGGAAGCCAAGCTGATAGACTTTTATCCCCTAATGCCTCTCCTCTCCCCTACTCGGTCCTCATAGAAAGTGCCACCTGGAAAAAAAACCTAAAGATGCACCACACGCACGCTCAAAAGAAGCCCGAACCACAAACAGGAAAAAGAACCCAAGAAAATTTAGCAAGCCACTTTCCCACCCCTCCCCAAACTTTCCTTTCTGTGCAACGTTCCGTGGCTTTTCTGTTTGTCTTGGATGATTCAGATGAGGTTTGTGGGCTTCGAGTTCACCTGCTTCAGGTCTTGAGTAAACACGTATCTCTTTCCCCTGGGAAGTCACTCTGGGCTCCAGGACGTTCTTCGCCCCAGCACGCAGAGTCCGCGCCCCGGCCCCGTGCGCCGCGGCAGAGAGCTGGGGCGGAGGCGCTGGGCCCTACACCTTGGATTCCGAGGCGCAGTCGGGGTGGCTCGGCTCGTCCAGGCTCGAGTCGCTGTCCGCCACCGCCCCGCCGTTGCAATCGGCCCAGGGCTCCAGCAGGCGCACGGGCGGCGCGGCCCCGACGTCCTCGTCGTCCTCGTCGGAGGCGGCCCCGGGAGACGGCGGCGGCCGGGATACCGCCAGGCAGCCCGAGGGGCGCTGCCGGTCGCCGGCGGCCGTGTGCCTCCGGCAGGCGGCCCGGCGCGCATAGCAGAGCAGGCGCTGGAAAGCCTTGCGGAAGTCGGGGCTGCGGCAGTAGATGATGGGGTTGAAGGCCGAGTTGGCGTAGCCCAGCCAGTTGAAGAAGACGAAGAGGCGGTCCGGCACCAGGTCCCGGTGGAAGGCCTTCACCACGTTGGCCAGGAAGAAGGGCAGCCAGCAGAGCGTGAACACGCCCATGATGATGCCCAGGGTCTTGAGCGCCTTCTGCTCGCGCAGGGCCACGAGGCGCGAGGGCCGCCGCTTGCTGGTGCGTCCGTTGGCCAGCGGGTCGGCGGCGGGTCGCGGGGACTCCGGAGAGGGCGCGGGCGAGGCCGGTCGAGCGGGGCCGCCGAGGAAGCGGCGTTCGCAGCTGTCAATCTTCTTCACCTGCTTCTGGGCCTCGCGGAACACCCGCAGGTACACGAAAGCCATGATGCACAGGGGCATGTAGAAGGAGACCACGGACGAGGCGATGGCGTAGGCCCGGTTAGTGACGAAATCGCAGCACTTGGGGTCGTTGTAGCAGCGGCGCGCCTCGTCGCCCTCGTCCCGCCACCAGTGCATGAGGATGGGCAGGAAGGACACCAGGGCCGAGATGGCCCACACGGTGCACACGAGGGCCCGCGCCCGCGCGCGGGTCAGCAAGCTCTGGTAGCGGAACGGAGACGTGATGGCGAGGTAGCGGTCCAGGGCGATGACGCACAGGGTCTCGATGCTGGCGGTCACGCACAGCACATCCACCGAGGTCCAGAGCTCGCAGAAGAAGGAGCCATACTCCCACCGGCCCCACACGACGATGGTGGCCCCGAAAGGCACCACCAGCAGCCCCATGACTAGGTCAGCGCTGGCCAGGGACATGATGAAGAGGTTGGTGAGCGTCTGCAGCCGCGGCGTCTTGGCGATGGCCATGATCACCAGCACGTTGCCCACCACGATGAGCAGCACGATAAGTGCCATCAGCAGGCCCATGCCGGCCGTCCACTGCTGCGACAGCTGCGCAGGGCCCTCGCTGGTTGGGGGCAGCAGCGAGGTGGGCGGCGACGCAGGCACCAGCAGTCTCGCCGCGGTGGCCGTGCCGTCGGGGAGAGGTGCAGCAGATGACAGGTTGCAGTGCTCCGAGGCGCCCAGGGAGAGCGCCCCCACGCCCATGCCGAGCTTCCGAGGCCGGGGGCGGGGGGTGTGGCGGGGTTGGGCAGTGTTTGGGGAACACCCCAGAGGTCCCGGTAGCTGGGCGCGTGGAGGGAGGTCTCAGCCAGGTCAGGGCAGCCACGGCGCGGAGCCAGAGGCTGGGCGCCGGGCACCTTTTCTGCGGGAGCTGAGCTCTGTCGCCTCCGCCGCCTCCGCCGCCGCTGTTGCTGGAGCCGCTGCCGCTGCCGAAACAGCCGCCGGGACCTCAGCATGTTTCTGAGCGCGCAGAGCCGGCAGTCCAGGCACCCAACACCCACCCCACCCCATTCCCACTCCCCCAAGCCAACCCCTGGGGCCTAGCGTCAGCTCCTGCAGCCAATCCGGGCAAAGGCACGCCCCTAGCTGTTTCCCTCCCCCCACCCTCCTACCCTCCAACTCCCCGCATCCTCCTCGCACCCTCAGTTCAGAGGCTGTAGGGAGCCCGGGGTAGGTCTTCTAGCCAGTAACTCTCCGGCCGCTGCCGATGCCTGTGCTCGCACCCCTTCCTGCTCCCGTTGGTTCCAGCGCCCCGTTCCCCCAAGCTGTGTACAGCATCTGGCTCTCACTCGCGTCCCTGCCCGCTCCTGCGGCTCCCACTCTCTCCTGCTCCATTCCCTTCCGCACTTTTGCTGCCTGCGTTCAGCTCCCTCCTGCGCCCCCCGCTCCCCTGGCACCCTGGGTACCTCCAGTGCCCGGATTTCCTGCAGAGCGGACTCCGCGCTTTCTTTCGAGGAGATGGGACCCCTGTGTTCTCTAAGCTCCTAGAGCCTCGTCTGACCTCGGGTTGGAAGACTTTGTCTGAGAGATCGTTTCTCGGATCGAGCAGCCTAGCAGAGTTCGTGTAAAACCCTTTCCCGGTGAAGAGGGGATCCAGTCAGCCTGCGTCCTGCCAGCTCCGGGGATTGAAAGCGAATGTTAGAGGTTAGAGGAAACTTTCCATTGGTGAGCCTCGCTAAGCAAACCGCGCGTCTTGTCAGGACCGCTCTCGGGGCGCTATTCTTGCAAGGAGCTTCCGTGCCAGAGTAGTAGATGCAGAAAGGAAGCTACGCTTAGTACATCTGACAGCTAACGCCGAGGTCCAGGTGGAGAAACACACATTCCCCAGTCCCCGCGAGTGAATATGAGTATGACGCAACCGTGTGTGCGCCGATACTACAAAGGCAGAGGCTTAAGGACACACACGAGTTTAATCATAGAGTAAATGACACTGCCGCGAAGAAAGAACACGTTTAATTTACATTTCAGACTTTACGTTCAGTAACAGCACCTGTATTTTTGTGTTTTAATGCTCACAGGATCTTATAATTTGCGTTTGGCCAATACAAACAAAACTCCTGCTTTTGGTTGACATCTTAAAGAACTGAGATTTCAGATTTCTTGGTGCGCTTGGCTGTTCTCTCACTGGCCCAACTTCTCAGATTCTCAAAACTCTAGGAATAGTTTTGAATGGGATGAGAGAAGAAAATATGTGAATACTCAGGAGGATTAAAATCAGACGGCAGTTAAAATTGTATCAGTGGTTTCGGAGTTGGCAGATGAACTGGTTTGGAGTTTGCGAGTTCTCTGGCCAGCAGTCTGTGGATTACATGTGGGGCCAACCAGGAACATTCAGTGCCTCAGGACTGCAAGCCTCTCTCAAATTAAGCCGTGGTAAGGTCCTCAGATCAGCCTCGAACGTAAAAAGCCTTTAATTGAATCCCCGACAAGGTAACAGCTTCTCATAACCCACATAAGGATCCGTGAAAATGTTATGTAATGCTCACACATATTTCTAGCAACTGGACCAAAGTCATTCTTACCTTGCAGAGAGACTGACTTCCCCAGCAACCCAAGTCAAGAGCTCAAAGCAATTCTTATTCAGTTTATTAAGTCAAGCCGTTTTAACAACCTCTTACTTAAATCAAAACATATAAATTTGCTTTTGGCCCAAACTGGATAAACAAGGGGAGAGGGTGGTTTATTTGTTTATTCACCTTTGCCCTATGACTTGTCAGCTTAGTTCTGACAACTTGGGGAGGCAAAGGAAGAGGGGCAAGGAAAGGGGGGAGGAACAAGGCCTGCCCCCTTCATTCCGTGTAAGCTCTGGAGAACCTTAGTGAACCAAGTCCTGGCAAACCTGTCTTCCCTGGGGCTTCTTTCTCTCCGCCCCCATCCCCCCATCCCCCCTCCTTGCACCTCAAGGAGCACTCACAAAATAGGCAAGGGATTGGAAACGGTTGAATTTGACCTTGCCCAGGAAAGGGGCTCTGAGTCCCGGGCTTTGGGGTGAGGTGTAGGGCCTGGGGGGAGCAGGCTTCCTATCCAGCGCCATCTTGCTGTCAAGTGGTGTTACTGGAACAGTCCGTTCCAAGCTGAAGTGCCCCTGAAGGGCCAAGAGAATACAGTTCTTTCAGTGATAAGGCCAGAGCTGGTTTGTGGAGGTTCAGGGCAGAAGCCTGGATGCCAGGACCTTTACCACATGTATTAATACGTGTTGGTGTACATTGTGTATACATACATGTATTTGTGTACACAGGGACATGTACAAACACACAGTGCATGGGGGCATGAGACTTAAATGGTCAAAAAACTCTCCAGAATTTTCTCCCCTTCTCATTTAAAGAAACTCAAGCTTCTCTGAATTTCTGGATAATAAATTCATTAAATCATAATCAAAACCTGGAGGTTATTTTAATACAAGTTCCACCAGAGGGCTGCAGGCATAAAGGGATCTCAGGATTCTTGCGGTTTTCCTCCAGAGGTATTCATGGAAAAGTTTGGAAGAGTCTAGATTCAACTACAGTTAGATTTGCTTTAAAGTAAGATGCCCTCAGGTCTTTTTTAAAATTCCTCCATTTCATGGCACATTTTGGGGGAGGCATTTTTAGTTAACACTTTTTGTCCCTGGATAAGGATACAAGATCACAAAGGAAAGGCTCATTATACTCACTTATACAAGTATTACATATTACAAGTTCAAAATGAATAATTCCTCCATTTCCCCATTCCCACTTGCAACTGTTAAAATGAATCACTTTTAGGAACCCACGGACTTGACAGTATTTGATAAAATAACAGAAATCTCCAACAGTAAATGCTAATCAGTACACTTGGGAGCTACTGGGCTTCTCCCTCAGTATTTCCTGCCGCCACCTCTCCCCTCCCCATCCCACTACCATTGTGTCACACCTGAACTTGGCATGGGTTCTCTGTGATCTCCCAGCCTCCAGCCCTCTCTACTCCACTTCAAGCGGCACACCATGGCCGAATTAATATTTCTAAAGTGCTGCTTTGATCAAGATGCCTTTCTGTTCAGAAACCTTACCTTCTTAATTTGGCATTCAAAGCCCTCCACGGTCCGTTCTAAATAGTCTTTCCAGCACTGTCTTATACTTGAACTCTCCATGCCGCTCCAACAATCCTGTATTTCTTTTCTCTTGTGGATCTAAACTCTTTTATTTGTTTTGTTTTGCATCTGTAGTCTCATTGGATTCCTTCCACCAAAAATCCCCTCCTTCACATCTGTCTCAATGGATTCAGCCCTTAATATCTGACATAACTTTTTCATTTTTTTTGTCTTCTTTGCCCACCATTTCTGGGAATGATTCCTCCTTTTTCTACCTATAACAGTTACTCTGATCATTGCGTTTCACATGTCAATGAACGATAGTTTGCCTTTTGACATCTCATGTTGTTATTTAATTTGTGTGTGTATATGTGTGTGTATATATATATGTATATATATATATTTCCTTCTCATATGAATTGTAAGCTTACCAGAAGCTAAGACTATCCTATACATTTTTATATTTCCCATGTTTATTCATAGTTACTTAATATTAATTAAAATTAAGCTTTGTTTCATACATACTTCATGTTTAACTTATTAAAATATTCTCATATTTACCAGTATAAACAATGATTAAGTGGCTTTGCAGTTATAATCTTCCCTCATGCTTAGAATTTACAGTAATAACTCATTCCTATAGCCTACTTAATACTTTCATATAAGCTTCTCAAAATAATTTGTAAATGCAAGATAGACTCATGAGATAAACAAATTTATATTGTGCCTACTCAGCAATGAATTAAATGAGACATAGAAAAGAGGTTTTCTAAAGGGGCCATGCAGGCCCACAGATGTAAAAAGCACTACCTAATCTTAACAAATACTCAAAGCAAATGAATTTTTTTTTTAGCCTTCATTTATGACACTATATTCAGGCATTTCTGTGCTGGGAGAATAGCTGATGACTTGAATGTGATTTCAATTTCTAGATTAAATTAGAGGTCTGCCCAGTAGTGACTTATACACATCCAACCCACCTGTGGATGTAAGTCATGAGCTTGGTGAAGACATTTGCATTCTTGAGTTGACTTTGCTAAAGACTGAGATCAAAAAGAAAGAGGAGGAGCCCAACTGGACAACTGCTGGGAGGCAGGCCAAAGGAAATCTAAGGGGGGAATTTCCAAGCACAGCCCCAAGCAACACATCAGATCAGTAAGTTACCAGCTAAATTTGCCTTGAGGCTGCTCATAGGGGGTGGGATTTGTTAGATCTCAAGAGGCCGGTTCTGAGTAGAGATAGACAACTTTTCAAGTAAAGCAGAACTACTGCTAAAACAGTCACTCGGAGCAAAGTAACCAAAGAACAGCCTGCACCCATGGCTGGCACTTCAGGTCATGTGCTAGCTTGGCAGCCACTGTCTACACAGGAACAATCGACTCCATCCATTGTGATAAGAATGAGCACAGAGCACAGGGAATAAGCATAGCAAAGCATGGACTATTTGGAAAACTCAAAAGCTCTCCTCTTTCCCATTGACTTTCTCTTTGCCCCCTCGTCTTCTTCAGTGAGTACATTGACCAATGCTAGAGCCAATAATAATATTTTTCAAAATTGGCACATACTGGAAAGTGTTCAGGGCTGAGAGGCAGAAGAGCAAGGTGTGCGTCCTGGCTTTTTCACTCTGCAGCTTGACCTTCAGCAGTGACTTCTACCTTCAGATTGGACCCCCCCATTCACTCCCTCACTGAGTTGTGCCCGAATTAAATGAGATCTTGTGTGTGAAAGCTTCTCGAAATCTCCTATAGCACCATACACTTGTAAGGCATCAAATGTCTTATTCAATCAACACGACATTTCAAACCATGAAAGGAGCCAGCATTTGCTTGGACAAGAAGAGTCAATTCACTTAAATAAGCTTGTCTTTAATCAGTTTAACTCCTTTCTTTCTCACACAAGATATTAATATGACTCAGAGGCTGGATAACAGTG